GAGGGTAAACTGGGACTGAATCTGAGTTTACTTGCTTAATTTGATGTGGAGGAAAGTAAGGAAATGTCATTGACTCTGAACGTATAGATATTACCACATAAAAGTAGATCCGTCCTTAGGGCAGAAGCCCTTAGGTATCCCCTTTCATCTTCCCTCTTTGTCTCTGTCACTCCCACCATTTCCTAAACACAGCTGACAAGAACCCGATCTGACATAGAGGATTATTGTCATACAAGAGAAAGCCCAACAGACAGTAAGACAAAATATGCTAAAAATGTTATGTATTGCAGACAAACATCCTTCCTTCCTTATCCACTGGTGAGAAAACTGTTTTCTTATGTTTTATTTTGAAGAAATGTGTTGGCAGTCAAATTACAACTAAAGTCGAAAACATAAAATCAGAAACCAACATCAACTTCTTCTCAGTGTTTTGAAGATTGGAAATATTTTTATTTCCAATATGTTTTTCTCACTGCTTTTAAAAAAATTGGCGCTGCTTGGCATGTTTGCATTAACATAAGTGTTATTATTACATAATGTAAACACTCCAACCAGAGGATCCGGCTCTAAAGAAATAAAACTATTCTAAATAAAGGGGTAAATGTATGTGCTGCATGGTGGTGCACTTTGTTGCACTGTTGTCTTGCAGCAAAAAGGTCTTGGGTTTTGTTTCCTGGTACAGGGTCTTCCTGCATAGAGTTAGCATGTTCTCCTTGTGCATGCGTTCTCTCAGGGTACTCCGGCTTCCTCCCACAGTACAAAAACATGACTGTTAAATTAATTGGCTTCTCTAACCTGTCGATCCACAAAGATGGATGGATGGTACATTTGTACCAAAATTCCCCATCTTAACGACGTGCATACAAACATTTGTTGTGACTGTTTAGTATGGTAGCCGACAGGTGCAAATGCATGGTAAACGACCAAACGAGCTACGAAAGCATGTGTAATTGAAACTCCAAAACATGCAAGCATTTGATATTTGTGCTTGTAGGTTTTAGAGTTTGCATCACACATGTTTTTCCAACTCGTTTCGTCACTTACTGCACGTTTGCAGCTGTCGGCCACCATAGTTTGGGCCTGAATAGACTCTAAATGATAGGGGAAACTAAAATTGTTGAGTCTCAAGTAAATCTTTCAAAAATGCTTTATGCATGAAACACTCTATATGGTATAAAATCAGAATTGAAACTCCCCAAAGCTGGATTTTATGTCCTATGCTTACAGTATATCTGCACAGCTCTGCCAATGACAATCAGCTGAAGCACATTTCATATTTTAATTACAATAAAAGTCATAAATTGTAGAGTATTTGATTTAGTTCGGTCAGTACAAAAAAGAAGAAAAACCCTTTCACCGAAAAAGCCTCTCTTCAGCTGGTAGAAGACTCTGCTGCAAAAATAGTGAGTAAGCAAGAAGGAGCTTGTTTCACAAAAAATTTTATGTCCCTGCAATGCCTACCTATACATTTTAGAATAATTTTGCAGGTGTTTTAATGCTACTTTTACAGCCAATAACAGTTAAATCTGAAATATTTATCACTTCTATTTTACTCTATAAAGGCAAAGCACTCAGGTGTTCTGAAAGACATCTTGATGACATGTGAAAAAAACAATACAATCCCAGGTGAGGCCTAGTTTTTATAAACCTCTTTTGGAAAACTTTCCTGATTATCTGAGAACACCAGAGATATCTGATGTTTTTAGAGCAAGCTCAAGACTTGATTCTCTTGTTCAGGCTCTATCTGAGTACTAGAGAAAAGGACATGGGGCAACAGAGACTTAGGAAGTTGGGAATAAAATCAATCTGTTTCTGCATTTTATTTAATACAATATTTTTTAAAGTTATGTTTTTAAATGTCTTTTTTTCATGATTTAAAAACCTCTCTGACTAGTTGCTTTAGTCAAATAATTTTTTTATTTTTTAATACTATTTGTGTTAACTCTTTAACTCTTCTCAGATTGTTTAGTTCGTTTTTATTAATGCTTCATAGTATGTGTATCCACACAGCCAGAGTTATATTGATAGACATATTTCATCAGTCAGTCAAACCAGCATTCTCTCAGTTTTTTTTTTGTTTTGTTTGTTAGTTTATTTTTTGTTTGTTTTTTTTTAATTTGGTGCTTTTCTATACAATCTTTATCTCAGTTCTTTTGTCTGAGTGTTTCATATGCATTGCTTCCTGTTGTTATCATATTTACAGCACTTTGAAATTCCTATGTTTTAACTAAAACATGCAAAATTCATTAAAGGTCTTGCTGACATTTTCTCATCTATACAAACAAAAATGTATGTAAACAATTGGCCTTAACTACCTGATAACCCTCTGAGTAATGAAAAGTGCAGCATTTTTAAGTCCATTTAGGTATGGATCCTAGGACCCCTGAAGGATCTCCTGTAATGCAAGAATGAAGCCGAAGTAGAAGCATTTTAGTCCTGTTCAGTGACAGGTGGTGCCTCCGTGGATCCAACCTGTCTGTCTGGCATATCCTACATAATCTTGATTTAACTGAGCTCTGGGGGGGACAGAGGGCCACATCAAGTTAGATTCATTGTCATGTTTCCTCAGATCCTTATCAAACTATTTCTGGCCGTGTGGCAGAAAGTATTATCCCCCTGAAAGTGGCATAAGGGAATAATGTTTTTTTTTTTTTATGACAGGAGCTTTCTTCTAAATAACAAGGCTTATTTTTGCGGTACATGTCAAAGCATCCACATGACAGCTTGGATTATTTCCAAATATTTGTGTCCATGTTTCAAAAACAGGCAACGTGCACACGCTACACAGTGGCACAGTTTTTGGCAATGTTGCCTTGCAGTAAGAAGGTCCTGAGTTAAATTCCTTGCCTAGAGTCTTTTTGAATGGAGTTTACATGTTCTCATCATGTATACATGGTTCTCTCAAGGAAACCTGGCCTCCTCCTGCTGTCCAAAACAATGACTGTTACCGTAGCAGCCATTCAACATGGCCCTTACCAGTCAAAAGCCAGCAGAATGGCAGCAAAATCCCCTCCAACTTCCAGCCACTGGTCTGCTCTTGGGCTTGCATATTTTTTTACTCTGACTCCACCCTGTCACTAAATTAAAGGGTCTGATCAGGAGATAATGCCTTTCTTTAGATCTTAATGTCCACAAATCATTACAGAAAGAATATTTTAGATGTTTAAAAAGGAATTGTACGGGACTAGCCAAGGACCTATCAAGGAAAGTAGGGAAATTTTGATTGGCTACTACTGTAGGTGCTCTAGCATCCCTAAATCATCCTTAGAGGGTGTGTTAATGGTTGTACTGTATGTGTTACCCTGCAATGGATTAGGGACCTGCCTATGTTCTACCACACTTTTTCCAATAGTCTGCTGGATATAGACACTAGCCCTTTGTAATCCTGATGGGCAACAGAGGATGGATCAGTGGGAAAATGCACATGGAGAGTTAGGTGAGGTCAATTGTCTCTCTTTGATTGAGTTCTGACGCTCATGGTCTTAGGATAGTTGCTTCATTGCCAGATATGGGCCGGCCTGTGCCTCCTCATTGATTAATGTAGGTATTATACAACATTCAGTGATGGTGCAGGAATGTACCCCCAGCGGTAAAACGTTATGCTTGAAGGTATAGTGGAGGATGATCTTTTTCCGGGTGGATCATCAAAATAAGTGGTCCTCCTAAATGTCAATCATTCTGGTGATATGTGTACGTAAAGACATCCTACGTGCTTGTCCCCATTTTCATTTACCGGTGGTGAGTCTGACATAGTGGAAAAAGTGTAAATCTTCTTTTGGAGAGTAAGCTTGTATGAGCGATGCAAACCTTTACTTTTAAGGAGAGTGTGCACAAGTAGAAATGGGCTTGTGCATGCTCTCGCATGTGTTTAATAGGCGTTCCCTCTCAGGAGTGGGTACAAGGTTGTGCATGTGCATTTTTCTTTTTTTTAAATGGATAGGGCGGAAATCCTCCACTATACCTTTAACAGTTAAGTGATTTCACTCTTTCCACTATGCAGCTGGCTGAAAAAAGGGGCTATGACAAGGGCTGTGAGATAATAGGTTGTGGCAATTTTGTCATACAAAATAACAATGACAAAATTTGTTTAGTCATTGACAGGATTTTAAGATTTTCACAACTTCTTGTTCTTTTTTAATATCACACTGGAAAAGACCCCAACATGCACATTTTTTAAAAACATATCTGTAATACCTTGAAATTGTACTTTTCAATTAAGGTTAAATTATCAGTCATGTTTAAGCTTATGCTTTACTGAAACCGTTTAGTTGTTTCTCTGACTGTGACTTACTACATGTGCTCTCTTTATCCTCTGATATGGGACCTGGCTCGGAGCTCATCTGAATGGCTGTTTGTTTCATGGACGAGGCCACCTGTGGAGCTGGTTGAAAGTTGCCTTTTGGGGTTTCTTAAGATTTCTTCCTCTTTCAAAGTTTTTCCTTCCCACTGTCACTACAAGCATGCTTAGTGTGAGGGATTGCTTCGAGTCAAAGAGTCAATCAAATTATTTTGCTTTGATAGAAAACTTTGAATCAACATGATTGTATGATCTGGATCGAATTGTAAAGCGAATTGGGATTACATGTTTTGTGAATTGGTGCTATATAAATAAACTGAATTTAATTGAATCAAACACATCTATTTAAATTTATACTTTCTGTCACTATGGCGTTTTGCTATCAGATTCCAAAGCAACGCAGGAAACTGTTTAATTTAATTTGTGTGTGTCCTCAGGCTAAATCTGAAGAGTTTAGGTCAAGCACTCCCTCGTGGTAAAAGGTTACACACTATTGCTTTAATGTTTTTGCTAAAATTTCAGCATCCAAAACAATTCTAAATAAAAGTATAATGATAACTCGCTGCTTTGAGTGTAAAATCCCTCAGACTGTCTACAAAAGGCTGCACATAACTTTCTAAAAAAATTACAGCTACTTGGTGTAAATAGTCTGCCTTATTATACATACATTAAATCAGAGCAAATAATGATTAGAGCAGCTTACACTGAGGTCCTCCAGGTTCAGGGAGTTCAGATACTTATTGTTCCTCTTCCATAAAATAGGAGGCCTCCTCTCTCCTGTGATGGCGCAGGTCAACACAGCGCTCTGGCCAACGGTAACCGTTGTGACGCTCACTTTCTGCTCATCTGGGAGGTTGAGAAGGTACACATCTGTTATGTAGAAAAAAAGGAAACATTTAGTAAATAACTTGTTCAATTAATTAGCATTTTTATTATTTAACAATAAAAAAAGTATGAATTTCTTTTAAATGGAAATAACTTTGATATATATCAATTTTTCAGGATGAAGACTGGACCTATAAAACAAAAGAAATCATAAAAATCTTATTTCAATCGTATTTTGCACAACTTTTGATATTTTCAAAGTGCTGGACAATATGTATGATAGTAGCTGTAGTATATGTAATATTTGATATCTTGGCTAGTGTAATAACTCAAAAAGCTGCACAGATTTTCTGCTGACTGTTAAAAACACATACTCATTATGTGTTTGTAACTTGAGGCTTGTTTATTTTCAGCATGCTACACTATCCTGTGAGATTAACACCATCCAGACTTTGTGTTGATGTAAACCAGATTTTTAATTAATTAAACAGAATAAGATGAAAACCTGTACATGAGCACAACCTTCCAAAGAAAAAAAAAATACTACATTCATCCTCTTATTATTTCTGATTAAAAAAGCCACATTGGTCAGAGGGCAGAACTGCGTCTAGTGCTTTTAAAGTGACCGGAAGCATGATGTACATTCAATCATTCTTAGGTATTATTTAATGCAGTCTTTGAGAAGATGATTTTTAATCTTTCTCTTGAGTAATGAACAATGGAGCAAAAGGAAACAGAGACTCAATTTGTTCTGCTCCTTAGGGCATGAAATACAAAATCTAATGAAAGAGAAGGTCCAACAGGCAGTGCTCACTTGCCACAGCCTGGAGAAAACGATGCAAGCACCTTTAATTAAAGAGAGTGCTATCGCTCGTAGACCGATGACTTTTTTTAACTTTTCTATACCTGCTATATTTGTGTTTGTTTCCAACTTAAATCGACATATTAAAGAAACTATAGTCAACTTATTGCATTAGAACAAAGAAAGAAAACTTCTCCTTTTTTTGATCTTTCTGCAATCCAAATACATGCAGCACCATTACTGTTCTGCTCCAAAGTGACAACAATTCTGAGCCAACCTCTCTGTAACAGCTGACAAAAATTGTCCATGATGAGCACCAAGATGTTGCCGTACATTGGCAAGTGGTTACATCAGACTGTAGCAAATATTGGTGTCATTGCACGCTTTACAGAATTTATAGGATAATTCGGGATCAAACATTTATAAATAAAATAAAAAGATAATTAAAAAATAATTGAGAAATAATTTTATTTGTGCTAAGCCACTATATTTATCGTTCACAAGAAATAACTTAGAGATATAGAAAAATACTAATTAAAGGTTAAAAAAGTAATAATTTAGAAAATAATAAAGTTTAAGACAACAAAAGATTAATTTGCTGACATATATATGATTTTATCTATATAGAAAAAAATTGTTTACATTGCCCAGATCCTTAACCCCAATAAAGTAATTGAAGGTAAGTATACTTTTTTATTGTTATTAAAAACTTGTTTCACAGATGACAATAGTAAATCGTTTATTTTATATATATAAAAATAATATATACAGTGTACAGCTTTATCATCTTAATTATTGCTTTGGATCAATTAACAATTTATACTATGCAACATGTAAAGAACCTAAACATACCTTTAGCACAAACTCTAAAATGGGCCAAAAGTTTCAGAATAAAAAAAAAAAAATTGGTCAAATATAAATTTATGCCACTTGCAAAGATATATAGGCGATAGATAAAATTTCTACGTAAATTGTGAAAGTGTGTAACTCTTATTTTTAGTACATTTACAGATTTACTTCTTTTTAGATCACAGTCCATAGTAGCAGGAACCTAAAGTTTCAGTTTTTTTTGTTTGTTTTTTTTTATCTTACTTATAATAATGTTTACCGATCAGCCTCAAAGTTACGGGTTTATTATCACAGCATGACATCAATACCGGTACATTATATTGTGTTTCCCATCGTTGACGTCATGTGGCCGTCAAAATACTGGCCGATTGGTGTGTGGAAATTGTATACATTTATTTTTTACCCGGAAAGCGTGGGCAAATGCTGAAGAACAAGCGAAACATGAACTTGTATGATTGCAGAAACTTACACTAAGATTTTTATTTTCTCTTTTACATTAATTAGCAAATATGTTTGCAAATATTCAACAACCTAAATTTTAAGAATATGTTAAGTCTGGTTTTAAGTAACACAACATATATTTTTCTTAAACCAGTGTATTTTCTGAAAAAGAGAATAACAAAATTAACAAATATGCATTTCAGTTCTCCAGCATTTGTTCAATAAAATTTGTTCAATTTCATGCCTTTAGATTTTGATGACACCTAAGATCTCAGTGGTGTTTTGGTAACACATAGGTTGCACATAGTCTGATATCAAAAAGAATTTTCAAGTAGTAACTAAATAAACTCGAGCTAGATCTTTAGGAACCATTTTGTATTGCATTCTGCAGCGAATTGTGCGAGACACAAAGATATGTGCCTGGGATGGAAAGAATTTCAGAAGACACAAAACCATCCTGAGCTGAAAAAAAAGATGATCTTGGCAATGATAGAAGATATTTCACATGAAAGATTAGCTGCAGCCAGTTTAGAATGAAAGAAAGTGGATCTTACATCAGTCCCACATTAATAATCTGTAATTGTCCTCCTAACACTGTTAACTGAACACATTCACAGCCTGTGTTGCCATTTGGAGGTCTTTGATGTGCTGACGTTGTAGTGGGTGGATATGCTGACAAAAATCTCCTTCAATAATGTCCTCCTAACCATTCAATTACAGCCGCCTTGTATCTTAATGCTTTTGGAAAACGCTGCAAGCAACAAACTCGATTTGCTGCTGATCCCTGAGGGGATAGAAATGTGTGGAGGTATAGTGAGAATTTAAAGAAGAAAGTAGGCAGACTGTCAGCCAGGCAAGCTTTAGCAGGCAGACAGAGGAAGTAGTTGGTGGTGGGGGTGCAGGTTGGGGTGGGGTATGGGAGTATCCGACCTGAATTAGAAACTCTTCAGGGAGATGGGAGTCAGAGCTGCTAGAGCTGACTCGGTCCAGCACCACCTCTGTGAGAGATTTATCAGTGGAAGAAGTGGTACAGCCTTCTCTTTTTTTGGACTGATTTGAGGCCTGAGGGACACAGCCCTCTGGGAGGGATCAACCTCCTCCATCCAACCTGTAATTAGTGATTAACGGGAGAGTGCAGACTTTTGATTTACTCTGCACTTCTCCCAGGATCGGATGTTGGTCAGTGACATGGTGAGAGGTAAATCACCAATTGTTCTAGAGGCAACAAGCTTGTCAGAGAAAAACAGCCTGGGACCAGAGGATAGTGCAAAGGGCTGGCAGCATGAAGACAAATTACAACAAGGTTGCTTAACCAACCCTCTCACTCCATCCCCTATCATGCTCTGTTGCTCTCTCTCTCTCTCTCTCTCTCTCTCTCTCAAATGCTGCTCACTCACCGTCTCTCTTCATCAACTTTCTGTCCTAACACACTTCTCTTCGTCTCCATGAGATGTTACAGTACTACACTTATACAGATGTCATTTCAGTCAGTTTGAGGGGTTAAAATAACATATTACATTAAATTCATTTTGCTTAATTCATTTGCCATATATTTTCAACACATACCTTCTCAAGGCACTTTACACAGTAAGTTCAATAAATTATACAGGCAGATTTTTTTATAGGTCTTAAGGAAACATGGCTGATTGATTGAGTGTCATGAATTATTGGTAGAGGGAATGCTGCAATGACAGTGACACAATGCAAGCAGCTGTCCACTGCAGCCATATACTCATCTAGGAAGAGTGAATTCTTGCAGAATTCACTCTTCCTAGATGAGTATATAGCATTCCCTCTACCAATAATGCATGACACATCAACTGCACTAAATAAAGCCGTTTTTCCTATCCATCTGAAATTAAATCAGACTAAGATTTTTCTATTTAAAGGCATTTGATGTTTATTCATCTAAATGATAACTTATTCAAGTTTTGTTTTTACTTAGCTCAAATTTAAAATTGAACATTTAGTAGAGTTGGCTTTTCAACACTATGGCCGGACAGATTCCTATGCCAGTTTTTACGCAATTTTATCTCTTTCCACAGCATTTCTTCAGAACTATAATCAGAGATCTTTGAAAGCCTTTTCAAGAGCCTGGACTGTGTTGTCTTTAAGCCTATTTGGAAATAATTTGGTAGTGTGATTTGGACCTCTTTGTCAGTCCAAGCTTCAATTTCTTAGTTGATGCATTTACATTCTGCTTTAACAATCTAACATAATGATCTTTCCCCATAATGCAGTCTATTATCTGAAGTGCAGCAATCCTTCCACCATCAAAACACCCACACAGCAGGCCTCCACGTCAGTCCATCACAGGACAATGTCCACTCAAATCTTTTATTATAGCCAAAAACTTCACCTTTTGCTTGAGACCACAGAACATGAATTTCATTGGATGTAATTGTTCTTGCAAAAGAAAATTGCACTTTCATGCATCTAGACATTGTGATTGGGATGATCAAGGCAACAAGCTGCTTTCTCTCTTCCTGATGTCTAGTCTGATTCATCCCTGTTTTTTTCTATTGTGTTACACAAGGGAGAGCTGTTTGACTGGTTGTCTTAAAATAAATCCCCAGGGGTGCCTGGAGTTAATCCCACTGTTGATTACTAACCTACCCAACATTTCAGAAAGGGAGACATCATACAGCATTTCCCAAATTGTTAACTTGCAAGTTTTGGAATGTTATTATCACAATATCATAAAGTCACTATTGCAACTGCATTGAATCTGAAAATAGTGTGTATTATTATCAAAGAACTACTCCTCTCTAAATCAACCTGTATGAAGAGATGTCTTATAGAGCTGTCTATTACTATGTTCACACCAAACATGCTTGGGGCAACCAAAAAGCGCCTGCTGCTTCCTTTTTGAAACTTGTACATGTGAAGGTTCGACGTGCAAGAGAATCCTTGATGCTCCTAAAGCACGTCTAGTAAAGTGTGTTCAAATGCG